TTTTTTTTGTAATGTGCATGATTGAGTCACTATGCAGTGTGTACTGGATGGGAGATAGCATTTTGTGTGCTGGGATGATGCTTCGGGAAGGAATGTAAATTGAGTTACAAAAAAAAGTTTCAGGACAAAAAAATATATCTATTCAATGACTGCAGTAGGATATGTAGCCCCAGTTAGGTGCTACTTTATAGGATGTGTAAAGTTAGACTTGTGCTCATGGAAATGTGTTTGTCACATGTGTTTGCTAGGAGGGTATTCGGATTGATTAGGGTCTTTGGTGATTCAATAAAATGTGGGGGGGAAATGATATAGAAAGCAAACATAGATAACAGAGACAGTGTGGGAGGAGAACAGGAGGTGGCAGAGGGTAAGAGAGGGAACCAAGGATGGGGGGAAAAAAGCAAAACATACAGAAAACAAGAAATGGGAGATCATTTGCTAAGAATAACATATTTGTTGATGTGCTTGATTGAGACAATATACAGTGTACTCTAGATGGAAAATCTCATTTTGTATGCTGTAATGATATACAGTGAATGAATGCACATAAATAAATTGGGAAAAAAAAGAAATAATTCATGTTTTTAGAGAGAGAATTTTTTCTATAGGATTTGTGTGCTTGCCGAAGAGACAGTGAGGTATAGAAAGACAGAAAGCAAGAAATCACCCCCAGAAAGGGAATCTGAAGCAGGGACATTCGTTGACATTAGGATTCAATGTAATATGAACAATATTATTATAATAAATAAAATGGGAAAAAAAAAAGTAGGTGATCTACTTCCAAAAATACTCAGCATAGTCAGTTAAGGCTCTGAAGGATTTTGTAAAAGGCTCACTTTCCTGGAAATAGCCCAGCTGTCGGTCAGCAAAGCCAACAAAGGCATATTTATCCTGCTGACTCATGGTACTGAGTTACAGCAGTTAGTAAGGGCTGCATAGTTTCTCTTTCCTCTCCAGATCCATTTTCTACATTTGACACTTCATTCTGAGCCTTAAGAGGATTACCTTATTTTTTTTTTTTTTTTTTTTTTTTGGGTTTTTTTTTCCGGG